TGGGCTCCCATGGGTCCCGCCACCGCCAAGGGTCCCACTCCCTACCCCTGGACTGGGGTCTCGGGCAACCTACCTCTGGACGGGGGCTCGGGCAACAGGCTGGCAATCTACCCCTGGTCTGTGGGTCTTGGGCAACAGGCAGGCAACCTATCCCTGGACTGGGGTCTCGGGCAACAGGCCGGCAATCTACCTCTGGACTGGGTCTCTGGCAACAGGTGGGCAACTTACCCCTGGACTCCGGTCTCGGGCAGCAGGAGAGCAACCTACCCCTGGACTGGGGTCTCGGGCAACAGGCTGGCAATCTACCCCTGGACTGGGGTCTAGGGCAACAGGCGGGCGGGCAACTTACCCCTGGACTGGGGTCTGGGGCAACAGGCAGGCAACCTACCCCTGGACTGGGGTCTCGGGCAACAAGCTGGCAATCTACCCCTGGTCTGGGGTCTCGGGCAACAGGTGGGAAACTTACCCCTGGTCTGGAGGTCTCGGGTAGCTGGTAGGCAGTTTCCCCTCAGCTGGAGGGTCTCCGGTAGGGATAGGCAGTCTCCCCTTAGCTTGGGGGTCTCAGGTAGCTGGCAGGCAGTTTCCCCTCAGCTGGAGGGTCTCAGGGGCAGGCGGTCTCCACTTGCCTTGGGATCTCAGGTAGCTGGCAGGCAGTTTCCCCTCAGCTTGAGGGTCTCAGGTAGGGGCAGGAGGTCTCCCCTTAGCTTGTGGGTCTCACCTTTGGTGAGGGGGCTCATGCAGAGCGCGCAGTGGGGAGGCCTGCGGAGGCCCGGTCCCCACCCGGACCTCCCACGACAGCGGTGGCCCCCGGGACAGCAGCAGGAGGAAGAGGCCGGCAGACTCTCGCGCCAGCCTTTTAAAGCTCTCCCAGATGCTTCCAGATTGCCCCAGCAATGGCCGGCCCAGCGCCACTGGGGTTGCCGGGGCTACAAGGCACGCCCCCCTCGACTCGGGAGCGCAGCCTTTGTCTCCGGTGGGCACAGAGCGCGGGAACGCCTCATGCCCGCACCGTGCCCGCCGGGGCAGCGCAGAGACACCTTGGCGGCCTGCCACTGGGTCTCCTGGCGGGGGGGCACCTCTCCCCATCCCGCACAGCCTGGCCTCTGAGGCCGTGTGGGATGAGGACGCGGCAAAGGGGGAGGAGGGAGGAGGGTGACAGCACACCGTGACAACCATTTTTTCAGGAAAACTAATGAAAGAAAGCACTTTGTGATTTAACCAATAATTGTTTCAGTTGTAATTATTTATGGTCCAATACCTGGCAGATGGGTGCCCTTTGCTGCATGCTTTGCTCAGTAAGGTGTTCTTTCACATGTCAAAAGTTGGGAGGTGCTCTAGCTTTACATGGGCTTATACCCTAAACCTTAATGTAAATACAACTAATTCCCCAGCTAAAAATGAAAGCGTGGTAATGTTTGTTTGTCATATGTAGCACTACCCCCCGCAGGAGCTGTTAGTATATTTGGGTCCTCTGTTCATCACTAGGCCCAAGGCAGAAACACACCCCTGCTGACATCACTAAAGTACCTTGGCCAGGGAGTCTCCCTGTTGTCACACAAGGAAAAATACTTGCACACTGTTGTGAAATAAATTAATAAGTTGTATTAAGATCAATATAAAGAAATATAGGCAATTTAACAGTTTACAAAGGTTCACAATGACACAAGCTGATTGAACACAGAAGCTTGTCAACACAATGCAAATACACTATATTGCCAAAAGTATTGGGACACCCCTCCAAATCATTGGATTCAGGTGTTCCAATCACCTCCATGGCCACAGGTGTATAAAATCAAGCACCTAGGCATGAAAACTGCTTCTACAAACATTTGTGAAGGAATGGGTCGCTCTCAGGAGCTCAGTAAATTCAAGCGTGGTACCATGATAGGTTGCCATTGGTGCAATAAGTCCATCCGTCTTTGCTACTAAATATTCCACAGTCAACTGTTAGTGGTATTATAACAAAGTGGAAGCAACTGGGAACAACGGCAGCTAAGCCACGAAGTGGTAGGCCACGTAAAATGACAGAGCGGGGTCAGTGCATTCTGAAGCACACAGTACTCAGAAGTAGCCAACTGTCTGCAGAGTCAATAGCTAAAGACCTCCAAACATCATGTGGCCTTCAGATTAGCACAACAACAGTGTGTAGAGAGCTTCATGGAATGGGTTTTCATGGCCGAGCAGCTGCATCCAAGCCTTGAATCACCAAGTGCAATGCAAACTGTTGGATGCAGTGCTGGAAAGCACAACCCGACACAACACATTTTAGAGCAGAGTCTGCGAGCCAGGTCTTCTCATCTGACTGTCAAGGTCCTACCTTTTCCCTTAGGTTATGTTACTCCATGTGCTGGCGTCCATCTTGGATTCTGCTGTGCATGGTGGGAATCCTTTTATGCCTTCAGGTCTCTGAGGTCCACCCCCCAGAGGGGCGTGGCTGATGACATATAAGCCTGTGGCCCGCACATGCTCTTTGCACTTGTGTCTTGTGTCTTGGTGTTGCTATTACACTGTTCTGACTCTCGTGACTCTCCTGGTATCTGATTCGGCTTGTGACTTGACTATTCTTTGTATTCTCCTTTGATCTGACCCTCTGTTGCTGAACCTGGCTCGTGACCTGTGATTCTCGTCTGCTGTCCTGTACTGTTTTGTCCTGTTGTTGTTGACCCCGGCCTGTCTGACTACTCTTTTGTCTCTTCCACCAGCTACACGCCATTGGCGGCGGCCATTACCGCAGCTGAGGTGTCTCGGGGGCCGCGGCCTGGTTCCTGGCTGCGTCAAGTCCATCCCCACCATCAGGGGCCCTGGTGAAGGGCAGCCTGGGACTTAGACTCCGCGCCCTGAGGGACTTCGGTCTGTGGGTGGTGGTTGTCGTCAGCCAGTGCGTTACATTGTTAGGCCTGCCTGTCCGTTCCTCGGCTCCTGCCCTGACACTGACATCAGGCCTTCTCATCAGACATCAGGAGGCCAAGGGGCTTAACTCATTTCAGTATCCTGCAGGCAGTGACCATGATGGCTGGATAAAGATGGCAGTCTGCAACAGCGAGGGGCACTGGCATTTGTATCAATAGTAGTGGCCTATACTTAGGAGTGTCTTGAAGAACCTGAATAGCAGCAACTGTTTGTAATTGCTAATGCAGCTCTCACTCTTATGCAGCGAACAGGTCTCCAAAAATTTGCCTCTTCCACTTGGATGTTTGACTGAACAGTGCCCTGTGCAGCTTCTCGGCCTAACCTGGTCCGGTCCAGGTCCACGTGGCTTGACACAGATCTCAACACACATGGTCCTTACACAGCAAAGTCTCTCTACAGCTCCACTCTATCTTCCCTGGCTTTTTCTCTTATATCCTCCCGCCCCCTGGTGAGGGTTCAAGGACTGTGTAGTTCAGACTCATCTTCCCTATGAGGAACAATTTCAGCTTTTGGCATACAAATCCCAGCAGTCTCTGCACACCTGTACTGGGACTATGATGAGCAATACAAAATGCTAAACACTGCTATCTAGTGGTCAAATATACATCTGCATTACAGTAACAATGTGCAGTGTTACATACTCTGCCCACCTAAATTCTTTGGTCCCCAAACCAACAGAAACAAGAAAACATGAGCAACATGTATAACAGCACAACTGCATTAATCAGGAGAGACAATAACAGCTAAGTTGATATTGTAAAATATACTTAGAAACAGTGTTCTCACCATGGACTAGGATGGGCAGGTTGTTTGTGGGAAGAAGCCACCAACCCAGAATTTACCCCACTGGTGGTTTTTAGCGAGGGGGTTATGGTTGCCACCTCATCCCTTTAAAACCGAACACATTAATTACACAGGTTCTGGCTAATTTATTGCAGATAGGGCACTATGTGAGTTTATTACCACCTTAATCAGCCACAGAACCTGTGTAATTAATAAGTGTTCTGGTTTAAAGGGATGAGGTGGCAACCGTAGAGGGGGCTCACATTCTCTGAGGTGCAGTCAACTGCACTGAATGCAGGGGCATCGAATGTTTGTTGGCTGGAGTGAATCACTTCCTCTGAGCTTTCACCCAAGTTGTCATAGGTCAGTCTCTTGGGTGGTTTTACAGCCCGCCTTCCTCTGGAATCTGAGTATAAGTCAGTGTCGTCTTCAGCCCCTGAGGCCCTTTCTTCCTGCTCTGAATTGCCATCAATGGCCTCAGGAATTGTAGGCTCAGTGAAGTCCTCTGCTTCCTCTAATTTTGAAAATTTTTAAACCCATGAGAAACAAAAGTGGATCAGAGCTGCCAATAATGAGATGACATCTCTTAGTGACCTGAAACAGATTTATAGAACTAAGATCCAAAATGGGACTAATATAAGGAGTAGTTGTTGAGTGTCAGTGTTAGAATACAATGTTCATGTATTTTTGTGCAACAGCTACTATACATCAGCATCAGTATTCAGAAGATATATTCATCAAGCAGTAGATGGCAATGTTTATAAGTTTTTAGCTGCATCTAAGATTATATTCTGTGCCTTCTTCTTAGACAGTGATGGGTCCAACATCCCCTGTTCAGTTCGCGGTCGAATATTTGAACCTATTTGAACATTTGAGTTGAGAGCGGAGCCTTTTTTTCTTTTTTTCTGGTCGGTGGTGGCAGCAGACATTGTGATTCACATTGGATCTACTTCGAGGGGACTTTTTAAAAATTTTTGTTGTTTTAAGAAAGGATTTCTTTCATTTTTTACGCTACACTTTTTTTTGTGAATGAGTAGCTGTACCATATACCCCATACTCATTCACATGGGGGGGCTGAATCTAGGGAGCACCCTTGTTAAAGGGGCCTTCCAGATTCCGATAAGTCCCGCGCATGCAGACCCACACAACCACCGGCCACGGTTATGGGGAACATGTGAACTAGGTGCTTTGGGGGGGAGCCCCCCTGCCTCAAGCACCCCTCCATGTTGAGGGCATGTGGCCTGAAATGGTTCAGGAGGGGGAGGGCACTTGCTCGCCGCCCCCCTTTTCCTGACCTGCTAGGCTGCATGCTCACATAAGGGTCTGGTATGGATTTTGGTAGAGATTTTTGGGGGGGGGCCCAACACTATTTAAAAAAAAGGTTGCCATGGGGGTTCCCCTCAAAATCCATACCAGACCTGAAGGGCTTGGTATGGATGGGAAGGACCCCATGACGTTTTTTATGCAACATTTTTTACTTGCTGGCAATTCTTTTTACATTCAGCTGTCAGCGGGGTACTCTGTTGACAGCTGAAACATTAAAGCATGTTTTCACTACTAAAATACTGCATGACTTAATCAAATAACTCACACGGTATTTTAATAGTTTTTTTTTTTTTTAAATGCTGTGTGGTATCTTTCCTCATACTCATATGCAGTAAGATACCGCTTAGTGAATTGTCCCAGTTCCTAGTTTGCTGTCAGACTTTCATTAGGTTTGAATGTTCGACCGCGAATCGAACAGGGGGGTATTCAGCCCATCACTACTTTGTATGAACTCACATTAAAGTCCCAGTGCCTCTTGAATGCTTTTTTCCTTGGGCTTCACTTTAAATGAATGGGCTCTCGTGCCTCTGCAAAACGTGGCCCGCATGGCTGCACATATGTGAACCTGCCCTAAGTGAACTGTTAAGTAACTTTAAAAGTCTACATGAATACATCCCTCACTTGTCAAAGCAACAGTATCATTAAAAAAATGCAAATTGCATCATTAAAAACAGTCCTTGACCTTCCATTACTTTGCCTTGGCAGAGATGATATCATCAGCCTTCTGCAGCATTTCCTTATGCAGGCCATAGACGGTTCGTTTATCGGCCGATTTTTCGTCCGAAAGAATAATCGGCAGATTTTCGCACTGTTAGTGGGGCAATGTCATCAGCCGATTTTCGCGGTTCCTCCTCATGCTGGAAAATTGGGAAAAATGGCCTGTTTTCGCAATCATTGGTGACAACAGAACGACCGATGTTTAGTTTTTCGATAAACGAACCGGCTATGGCCTGCATAAGTCTCCTCCTCTCCAATGATCAGACATTGTAGCAAGTCACAAGGTGAGAGGCTGCAGCAGGGGCAGATCTGTGTCAGACATATTTGAACACAACCAAGAACTGCACAGGCATCAGAATTTACAAGAATATGTCATTTCTGTTTCAGCATCCAAGTCCAGGAAATAGATATTGAAACCTAGATAGTACCTGAACAAAGGCAGTTATTTATCAAAAATAAAGTACATTTGGATATTGTTGGGGGGGGGGGTAAGGGGATCTCTGTAAGAAGTAATAAATACCTGCTACACATTACTTAGCATTCATGACATATCCTGAAACAATTGAGTACTGACGTGATACTTTTTTTATTTGCACTAACATACAATTTTGAGGACAAGCTTTCGGGGTATGTCCCCTTCTTCAAGGTCCAAGCAGTACTATTACAAAGTTTTAGCAGAATGTTAGAGGAGATGTTGAAATGGGGAGAGGAAAAAAAAACAGAAAGAAGAAACACACACAAACAAATGTACACAGCAATGGTTATAAGACTAGGATTTAGACTAGAGATAAGACACAGCAAAAGCAAAGACTGGCAGGGGGGACAACACTCACAGAGGGGGTCGTAAAACTGTTTGATAATGACTGAGGAATTAAATGTTCAAATTAAGGCCGTTATCTCTTGTATCAAATAGAAGTATCATTCTTAGTTCAAAAGTTTTTCTTTCCTGAATAGATTTGAAATTTCCTTTAAGAACTAAAATATTGAGGTCTTCCCTAGTGTGGTCTGGTTGTGCGAAATGGTGTCCCACAGGTGTGCAAAAGTCATCTTCTTTATGTGCTTTCAATAAAGACATCTATCTTCAATGTATGGGTACTGCGATGGGAAGTAAAATGGCACCCCAATATGCCAATTTATTTATGGTTGGCCTGGAGGAAAAATTTCTGAACAGCATGCAACAAAAACCATACAGATACTATCGTTATATGGATGATATTTTCATCATATGGACAGAAGTTGAAGAAAACCTAAAACTATTTTCCTCATTGATCAACACTTTTCTTCCATCAATCAAACTAAAAATGGAATACTCAAACACACGTCAACTTCCTAGACACCACAGTATACATCAGGGATGATACGCTTCACACGTCAATATACAGGAAACCCACTGACAGATGCAGCTACCTCCACAGTTCTAGCTTCCACCCCCAACGCACGAAACGTGCCATCATACACAGTCAGGCCATTAGATACCACCGAATATGTTCTGACCCAAGAGACAGATAAACATCTCGGGACACTAGCAGACTCCTTCCATAAGAAAGGTTAGAAGGACAAAACTATCAACACCAGCATAAACACAGCCTTGAGAACCCAAAGAGAAAATCTACTTCAGTACAAAGAGAAAAAAACAACCAACCTTGTACCTCTAGTAACCACATATAACCCAGCACTAGAAGGAATAAGAAAAATAATCAAAGATTTACAACAACCCATCATAACAGAGGATGGAACTCTGAAATAAATATTTCAGCAACACCCAATACTGGCCTTCAGACAACCCCTCAACCTCAGAAATAAACTAATAAGTAGGAAACTTCCTTCTGATCAAGATGTCACAAATAATGGAAGCAAACCCTGCAATAAAAAACGCTGCAAACTGTGCAACCAAATCAATCCATCAAAAAGTGTCAGACACTCATAAGGGATCTTCAATATTTCCGGATCATACAGCTGCACCTCTAGCAATTTTGTGTACCTTATCCAGTGCAGACAAATTCAGCAAAGGATCCTATGTTGGCAAAACAGGACAGAAGTTGCAAACAAGGATGAATTTACACAGACATACCATCAAGGAACATAAAGAAGATGACTTTTGCACACCTGTGGGACACCATTTCACACAACCAGACCACACTAGGGAAGACCTCAATATTTTAGTTCTTAAAGGAAATTTCAAATCTATTCAGGAAAGAAAAACTTTTGAACTAAGAATGATAATTCTATTTGATACACAAGAGATAACGGCCTTAATTTGGACATGGGATTCCTCACTCATTATCCAAACGTTTTACGACCCCCTCTGTTGTCCCCCCCCCCCCACCAGTCTTTGCTTTTGCTGTGTCTTATTTCTAGTCTAAATCCTAGTCTTATAACCATTGCTGTGTACATTTGTTTGTGTTTTTTTTTCCTCTCCCCCTTTCAACATCTCCTCTAACATTCTGCTAAAACTTTGTGTAGTAGTACTGCCTGGACCTTGAAGAAGGGGACATACCCCGAAAGCTTGTCCACAAAATTGTATGTTAGTGCAAATAAAAAAAAAGTATCACGTCAGTGCTCAGTTGTTTCTGTCGCAAGTGCACTAATACAGCTACAATCACCTCATATCCTGAAAATACATACCTGATGCTAGGTGCACTTTAAGCACTTGGCAAAATCACAAAACAAATGTAATATTAGGTAATGTTAGTAAATTGTAATGAAATCCCTTAGATGACTCTTATCTGGACACCTCCATTAGGAAAGAACTCATTTTGGAAAGAACACAAGAAGAATGTTGGCGTATAATCATGGAAATACTAAGTGTTCAGTATCACCCTGGCACTGGCTCACATCTTTCTAGCAGTGACTGAAGGGGGTGAAGATTATGATAGTTGTACAATGTATAGTTTATTATACATAATCCTACAGACAGACAGGTGTAGGGAGGAGCCTGCATTGTCCAATCAGCTCTGATCACATTTACATTGATGTCTGCACTCTGTATATAATACACAGGGGGATAGAATACAATCCAGAGATCTGTGGCTGAGTCACCTGCACCATGTCGTGGTCTGCCCTACTCATCACCTCTCTATTATTCTGCACAAGTAAGAGGGGAAATGGGTTTATTAATGTCTAAGCTGGAGACCAGCTATAGGAGAAAGAGGAAGATTAATGTACATATTACAAGTGATCCCTGCTGGACTGTTTATATGAATTTATTTCTGTATTTCAGATTGTGCTGCTCAGGTGAGTGTGACCCAGCCAGCCGCTCAATCAGTCTCTCCTGGGGACACGGCGACATTGTCTTGTACACTTACTGGGTTCAGTATTGATGATAGCAGGGTGCGCTGGTTTCAGCAGAAAACAGGGGAGAGACCCCGGTATCTGTTAAATTATAAAAGTGACAGTGACAAACACCAAGGAGCCGGGGTCCCTGATCGGTTCTCTGGATCCAAAGACATCTCCAAGAACACAGGATATTTAACCATTAAGTCAGTGTTGTTAGAAGATGACGCAGATTATTATTGCTGTGTGTGGTATCCTGCTGGCAGCAAGTTACACACTGATACACTGTAATGAGGAAGTTATACACATTACTTGCACAGGACTGGGTGATTTTCCAATAGCAGTACATATTTTAGATATTCTGTTGTTATTATTATTTATTATTATTTAGGATCTCAAGATATGACCAGGTATTTAGCCACTTGTCTACTCACCACTTTCCCCCCCCCCCCCCCCTCTTCCTGCCCAGGCCAATTTTCAGCTTTCAGCGCTGTCGCACTTTGAATGACAATTGCAACGCTGTACCCAAATAAAATTTTTATCATTTTTATTCACACACATAGAGCTTTGTTTTAGTGGTACTTAATCATGACTGCATTTTTATTTTTTTGCACTATAAACAAAAAAACAGCGAACATTTTGAAAAAAAAGGTTTTCTTTGTTTCTATTATAAAATTTTGCAAACAGGTAATTTTTCTCCTTCACTGATGTGCGTTGATGAGGCTGCACTGATATTCAGCACTGCTGGGCACTGATGGGCAGTACTGTTGGGCATTTTTGGGGCTGCACTGATCAATGCCCTGACTATCAATGCAGATGTCTTCTCTTATAGTGGCATGCTGTGACAGCATGGAGAAACTACAGCCGATAACTGGCAAGTGTATTTACATGGTGGTCAGCTGTGATTAAAGCTGATCATGTGGTAAAAGGCCGCTGTGTTTGGCCTTTTACTATGATGTGATCAGCTGTATCCAAAGGACACAACAATCACACACAGTG